TGAATGTAACTGTATTTTATACCGAAAATGTACCAATAAATTTAATGGGGAAAAAAAAAAGGTTTTAGGCCGTATAAAACCTCCCTGAAGCTAGTAAAAATTTTCAAGGATCCATCTTGATCCCTCACAAAAGCAATTTTTGTTTTCATAATATAAAATAGGGTATGAAATTAAGAATTTGGGGGGGTCTCCTAATACTATGATATAATAATGCTGCCCTGGAAAAGTTTTTGTCCATAACTATGCTTTTTTTTGGTACCGGGGATCGAACTCAGGACCTTGCGCTCGCGGGGCAGGCGGTGGAACCACTGAACTAAATCCCCAGTCCTATAACTATGTTTTAAAGAGGCCCTATCAGCACTAGAACACTGACTCTGTATAAAAACACTACATTAATAAATAAAGAATAAAAATGTATTTTATGTAAAAGAAAAACCATAGCTCTGATGAGTTACACATTATATAACCTTTATATAAAAATAAATTATGAGTGTATTTCCATTATAAATATTTTAAATTTTAAAACTCATTTCTTCAAGTTTCCACATTTTGGTTAATTTTTAACATTTCTTTTTGTCTTTAATGGGTATTCTGCAATTTAAATGTGTTTAAATAGTTTCTTTCTATGTACCATCATGAGAATCCACCATTTCTGGACAATCATCACCCATTATCTATTTAAATGTTACCTCTTCCCTACTCTGTATATGTTCTCCTTCTGGTAGTTCTACTTTCTAGTTCTATGACTCTTAATAATGTTAATCTTTTCCATTCCTTTATATATCTGCATATTGGGCATTATCATTAGTTATTCTATGTCTAATCTGCATTTTAACCCTTTGTACTTTATTTCAATAATTATATTTTTATTTTATAGATTTTTATTTATCTACATTTTAAATGTCTTGTCCTTTTCTTAGGGTTTTATATGTTCTTTTTATATTGTCAGCATTTCAAATTCCCTTATTTTGTATTCGCTTTCATGTTTCTATATTGTCTTAAGTTCTTGAGGATCCAATACTGCTGTTATATCTTATGCTGACTTACATGGATTCTGTTTTTGGCTGACTCTCTCTTGGTTGATTATTTCCTCATGTGTTTCATCATTAATTATAGTGAATACATCTTTAGCAGGGCTTGCTTTGTTCACGAAAATCCTAAGCCATTTACATGGTTGGGACTATTCATTCATCATGGTTGTGTGTTTTACTCTTCAAGGGTCTTTGAGGATTTTTAGGTCTGCTAGGTAGTATGAAAAACAAAAACAAAAAGTCACATGGCATACAGGTCCCAAAATGAAATTCTCAGGGGAAGATATCTTCTTACTAGTACACAGTTTCTTGTTCTCCCTCTGTGCTGGTGGGCATAATTTCCTAGCCTAATTTTTTAGTAAAATAAGGAATTTGGTTTTATGCAAGGGATGCCTCAGTTCAGTTCTCTGTGCCCTATGAAATTAAGGCTTTACCTTCCTTCTGTCTCTAGTGGATGCTAGATTCTAAGCTCATGGGTCCCTGAAGCACAGTACTTCCCAGGATGGCCACAGTATCACTTTACAATCTGTGCTCTGGCTTTGACATTCTTTGCTCCTGGCAAATAGGATGTTTTTTTTGTTATTTTGAGAATTAAGTAATATTTTTAAATCATTCAAAATATTTTGTCCAATATTTCTAGGGCTTATAATAAGAAGGTTTCTAAAGATTATCTTAGTCTACTGTATTGCTAGAGCTTTAGTTTATACAAACAATTTACTGTTTCATTATTTATAATCAATCAGTCCTTTCCTAGCAAAAGGTTTAGCTGGACTATTGTTCAAATTTTGAGACATTAGAAACCTTAATGTGTGTGTGTGTGTGTGTGTGTGTGTGTGTGTGTGCGCCTGCATGTCTTTGTGGGATTCCTCATGTTTAGAAGTGAAGAACTAGAGATACATTTTTAAATTTTAAATAAAGAAACTAGCATTCCTCCTAGGACCTTGGCAGGACATGTATTTCTCTTGCTAATCACCATTAAAAATTGGTTAAAGTATGTTCATTGATTTCCAATGGAATCTTGGAGAAAAAACAAAACTTTAATCTTTTTCTTCCAAGCACCACTTCAAAATATCCAAAATTATACTATTGAAGACCTCAAAACATGTAACTCCTCTCAAACAAGACAATTTAGCACACTTTTCAGTAGTGAAATCTCCAAAAATATATGTAAAAATTCTTTGACAAAAGTGAATTGCAAAATAGAATTATACAGCAAGAGTCAGAGAATTTATAGCATAGAAATGGCAAGTTAGATAGACTTGGGATCTTATAAGTGAAAATCTTTGTGATTTGAGAAAATGGCTATAACATATCTAAAGTACATGATGATTGCTACTATTACAAATAATACACTTCCCACTCTGAAAAAATACAGGAAATTGCTTAAATAACAAGTCAAAAGCATATGGAAGAGTTTATTTGTACTCTTTACCACAGGGAAGCAGTTTCTTTTAGCTTTTTTACATACATTATAGGTGTTGAAGTACTGTTGTTTATTGCTTAAAATTATAAAGTTTCTTGATTTTTCAACTGGAAAAAGCTATCAACTGTCAGAGAAAACAGTAGACGAAAAGTAACCACAGAAGTTTTGGAAATAATAGGTTCTAATAGGACCACGATTTAATTCTGGAGAATGCTCCCTTGTATTTATTACCTGCAACATTATGAACTGAAGCATGTTAAAACATTTCTGTTCACTCCTCTGTTGCTGAGTTTTCTCCAATAAGAGTAGCACAGGATTCCTGAATGAAGGCAGGAAAATACTTACTCCCTAAATAACAGATAATGTAAAGAACTACATACTTCCATTAAGCAGTAAGACACATTTGAAGAAAGCATTGGGAAAAGTTTGCAGGAAACTTGAAATTATTACTCTATTTGGTCTCACTACTGACATATAACCACAAGTATTAAAAGCAAGTCATTTTCCCTCCAGACACCGAAACAAGTGATTATAGAGATTATGGAATGAAAAAGAAAAGTTTTGTTTGTAGGATAATCTAATTATTTTTAAAAAGTAGTACATCTTGTGATTTAATTTAGCCAGCAGGCAATGTTAATGAACATACTACCCTCAGGCTTAGCAGAACTCAATTCAAAGCCAATAAAAAAAGCCCATCTATGTTTTAAACATATATATTCAAAGCAAATTTGAAAACAGCCATATTCATAATATGCAGGATTGATTTGTTTTTTCTCTTTCTATTGTGATTTTTCTTGACATTTATCTCCTTGCTGTTCAATATGATCCATGCATGGGCTAGCAGCCTCAACCTCATGGGAGAAATTGTTAGAAATGCAGGATCTCAGATGCACCTAAGACCTATTGAATTTTACTTTGCATTTTAACAAAATATCCATGTGATTTATATGCCTATTAAAGTTTTGAGAAGTCTGTATATGAGACATAGAAATGTTTTCTAATTTACATCAACTATAAGATTTCTTTTGAGGGTGATAAAACTGTCCTGGAATTAGATATTGGTGAAGGTTGCAAAACTTAATAGATATATTAAACAACTTTGTTCTGCAATACTTAAATGGTTGAATTTTATGATATGTGAATTGTACCTTACTTTTCTAAAAGAAAGTAAGATAAATTTATACTAATACTTTAATAGTAAATACTTCAACTTGCACAGAACATAGATGAATGGAATCAGTTCCAACTTTTTTCTTTTATCTCGGAAAAACAAAAAAATAGATGCCCTGACGTTTCCTGGTGCTCAGTTCTTACTGCAGAAGGGAAAGGCAGCAGGCTTTGACTCTGGGTAGCTCTAACCAGGGCCCCAAAGGCTCAGCGGTCCGTCACAGGGTTTGCCAGGCGCCCTGGGGCACAGCCCTCCCTCCATTTAGAACTGCTGGGAGAGCTGAGAAGCGCTTTCTTAGGGAAACAGCTTGGGGTGGGGGTGGGGGTGGGGCTGGGGGGATATGACAGGTCCGGAAAGCTGACTGCCCAATCCAGAAAAGGGGCCAGAAGGCAGAAACGCTATCTGCCAGCTTCAGTGTGGTCACGGGCTGTGGGGAGTGGGGACTTTTCACCCGCTGTCAACCCCCACTCCGACTCCCCAGGAAAACCCGATCCTTAATAAAGGCTCGCGATTATTCAGGGGCCACTACAAATGACCCCGAGTGCCCTCACTTCTATAGTTCTCCAGGTCTGAGGTCTGCATCTCTCGACACTGCATCTCCCCGACGGCCTCGGTAAAAGCTTCGCAGCGCCACACCTGCAGAAGCCTAACTGGTAGCATTTCCCTGTCTTCATCCCAATGCCCAGGATAGGAAGGAGGATGTGAGGGGCTAAGAGATAGGTCTACCCGCTCCCACGCACACCTTCAAACTTCCTGGCCCCGCGGCCCCGCGAGGACCTGTGCGTGCCGCCTGAAGGACTTAGGTAGCGCGCGCGGACCGCCCTGAGCGCGGGTTACCAGCTGCCCGCACGCCCGTGGCGGCTCCAGGTAGCCCCGAGGTCTAGTCATCTCTCCCACAGAGACCGAGTCAGAGGACGCACATTTGAACCAGCCCTTGTTTGAATCATGTCTGTTGAGCAGCTACACGGAGTCTGTTGGGGAGGCAGGGTGACAAGGATGAAGAAATTGACCAGCCATCTGATCACCTGTAGTATTGTGTGTTCTCTGCGGTCTCACTCTCCCGGGCTAGCCCTCTGCTGCGTGCTCGCCGGGTGCAAACACAGCCCGGCCTGAGCCCCTGCAATCCCGGAGTCTCAGCCCTGGGTCGTGCAAACCTAGCAGCACCGGCCCTTGGAGACGCGCGCTGGGGTAGAAACGCGCGCGAACCCGGCTCGGACACTCCCGCGGGCGCGCAGCCTCGCGCGGCGCTGCTGGCACTTACAAGCTGGGGTAGTAGCCGTAGGGCGGCAGCGGGAGCTGGGGGCAGCCGTCGTCCATGAGCTCCGAGTCCATGAGGAGATAATCCTGGCTTTCGTTACGCCGAGCGCCGGCTCCGGCGGCAGCCCGGGGAGAGCCTCCCCTTCGGGGCTCGAACGCGGTGCTCTGGTGCATGACTGGAGCGCCCGGCTGGCCTGCACCCTGCTCCCGGGGAGAGGTGGCTGGTCCAGCAGGGACCTGGTGCGAGGGCACCGCGCCACCTGCTGAACTGGTCCAAGGAAAATCGATGCCCCGGGGAAGAGGATAAGGAAGAGACTCCGATGCCTGGCAGTCTGGACCCCGCGAGTGGTTTCCCCGCCGACCCCGGGAGAAGTCAGTGCTTAAGGGTCCTTGACCTGAGCGCGTCGGCCAAGCAGACCTCGCAAGGAGGCGGCCGGGCTCCCGGGCAGAGCGCAAAGGCGGGGCCGCGGGTGGCAGCAGAGCCCGACAGCTGAGGGAAAGAGACCGAGCTCAAGAGTTACTATGTCAACCGAGACTCTCCAGCCCTCAGCTCCCTCCTTCTTCCCCCGCATCCTCCGCCATGATCCCCACCTTTAAAGGGATCAGAATGACGTTCTAGAAAACAGCCAAAGCCTGTCTTGTAACCACAACTTTCAGGAGGAGGATAAATCTAAACTAGGCGGAGCCAGACACGCATTGGGTGGGGGTGGGGGGAGTGGCTGCTTTCAGAGTCCGCTTATTTAGTAACAACACAAAGAGGACTTTCTAGGAAGCTACTTTTAAGTAATACTGGAAGAAACAAAGCATCTCTTTAAAAGGGACACTTCTCTCCGTCAAACTGGCTTTATTTTCGAAGGACATTTTCTCTCCCGTTCCCAACTCCCAAAGTTATGAATACATCAATGCCAGATGTTCGTAGTTCTTGAACAAACCAACAAAAATAGGCAAGCATTCCCAGAGATGCTGAAAAAGAGGCCAGCAACCTGCTTACTTTAGAGAAAAGGCTTCCTGTAGATACCAGAATTGTTTTCTTGCCAGATGTTTCTTTTTTTTCTTCTTAAATTTTTTTATTGGTACATTTTAGGTATACAATACGTTTACATTTATCATTGGGTACTTGTACCTGTACATGAGGTATCTTGGTTCTTATTTTTTCCCCATTACCTATGCGCCCTTCACCCCTCCACCCTTCCCTATTTACACAGACTTCATTTCAATTTTTTTTCTTTTCTCATAATTTTTCCTTTCCCTTCTTTCCTTTCCCCCTCCCCTCCCACCACCCATACCACTTTGGACGTGTAATTCCTATTTCAAATTATCAGCTATTCATTTTAATCATTTTAATCCTTATTTACACTTTCAGTTTCTCACACTAGAGAAACTATTCAGTATTTAC